GTCCCGGACCCGGTGGCTTAAAACTCACGCCGGGCACGTGTGCGTGCGTGCCCAAGATCCCGAGAGGAGAATGGAGGAGAAGGGATTGTGGCGTGACCATCCCCCCTGGGGGGTGATTTCTCGCTTTCTGTCTCTATGTCTCTCTCTGTCTGTCTGGCGAGCGCATGCGCCCTACAGTGAAAATCTCTCCAAAAAAAAAAAAAAAAAAGCTTTATTTATGAAAATGAATCATGGGCTAAATGTGGCCTGAGGTCCATAGTTTGGTGACCTCAATTTATGGAAATTCTTTATATATTCTGAATAGGAGTGCTTCTTAAAAAATGTGTAGCAAGTACCTTCCATTGGTATGTGGTTAGTCTCTCCACCCAGTGTATCATATCTTTGCTGAACAGGACTTCCTATTTTCATTATTATTTTTCAAACATGCTGAAACTCGGTATCTGCCTGACTTTATTTCCCATGTTGTATTAAATATGCTCAAGGCCTTCTGAAAGCCCAATAGTAATAAGTAGGCATCTAATGCACAACAGATGACAACTCCTCAGTGCGGAACTAAGGCAAAGCAGCCTTGAGGGCCATGGAGATGGGCCCAGAGACACCAGGAATACTCACCCGGTTTGATGGGCTGTCTGTTCGAGAAGGTCAGAGGTGCAACAAGGAATTTGGTCTCTGCAACTGGCACCCAGTGATGAAGAATTTTCACTGTCCAGACTCCAGGCCTTAAGGGCAAGTTCAAAGGGGGCTTGTAGTGGGTGAATTCAGCAGTGGACTCAATCAGGATGTCGTAGGTGGCTGCGATGACGTTGATGGGATCCACCCAAATGACAGTCACAGTCACATTGGGCCCCTTACCCCATTTCTGCATGCCTACTGGCTCATCCATAGGCCCCAGGAGGCCCCCAAAGTTGCGGAAGAGCCGTTCCTTGGCATCCCAGTCAGTGCCGACCTGAAACAGGAGAGTAAGCCTTGAAACCACTGGGTCTGAGCTCAGGTGCTAAAACTCAGAAAAGCCAGGTTCCTATTTGTGAAGCTTCGTATACTATTTTACAGATGGAGAAACTAATGTTCTGATAAAGCCACCTGCTCAAGGGTACACAGCTAGTAGGCAGAAGATCTGGTATTTGGACTTAGTCTGGGGGACCATGAAGACCATGGTCTTTCACTAAGTCTTTGGACCTCCTGTGGCTGGTACATAGCATGTGCTTTGAAAAACAACAAAACAAGGGAACCAGCAGTTAGCGTAATGACTATGTTGTTGGACTCCCACATAGTTGACCACGGTTCGCGTCCCGGACCTGGTGGCTTAAAACTCATGCCGGGTGTGTGTGCGTGTGTGCCTAAGATCCTGAGTGGAGAATGGAGGAAAAGGGATTGCAGCATGACCATCCCCTCTGGGGGGTGATTTCTCGCTTTCTGTCTCTCTCTGTCTGTCTGGCGAGCGCACGCACCCTGTAGCGAAAACCTCTCCAAAAAGAAAAAGAAACAAAACAAAACAAAACCAAAACCAAAACCAGGCGCTGAATGAATGAAGGAATACCTGCTTGTAAATCATTCCAAGAAAACCAATGAGAGGATTTCAAAAAGTCCATGAAAGGCAAAATGGGTGGCATAGCAGTAAAGGCACTGGACTCCCACATGGTCAATTGCGGTTCAAGTCCCAGACCCAGCAGCTTGAAACTCATTCTGGGCGTGTGTGTGTGTGTGTGTGTGTGTGTGTGTGTGTGTGTGTCCAAAATTCCAAGAGGAGAATGGAGAAGAAGGGATTGCACTGTGGGGTGATTTCTTACTTTCTCTCTGTCTCTCTGGCAAATGCATGTGCCCTATAGCAAAAAATCTCTTAAGGAAAAAAGTCCATGGAATTAAAGTATATGGTAATTTTGAAGCAAACATTTTTGAAATCCATGCCTAGGTTTTTCATCATAGGCATCTTCTTTGAACTCTTTGAAGACCCCTGTACACTCTGCACCCAGCAAGCATAGCTCCTGTCCACTCTGGCTGGTGGTTTTCCAAATCACACACCTCCGTTCAGTGTACGCTTTGTGAAAGAGAACGGACTTGGGTTTGGGAGCTGCCTGACAGAAGCTGGGAGAAACCCTCAGCATCATCTACAATCTGCAGGAGTTCTAGTGGCGTCCACGAGCTGGACCTGAGGGAGGGGAGATGTCATGCAGGCCATTCTTCCTGCTGGCCAGCTCTGTGTGTGTGTGTGTGTGTGTGTGTGTGTGTGTGTGTGTGTGTGGCTTCGAACCACCAGGATCTGCTCTTGGCTTCCCTTCTTCCTCTTTTGCCACCTGCAATTTATTCTCCACCCAACAGTTAGGGAGACCTTGTAAAACATGCTCTCACTGTTCAACTCCCATGCTTCCTACTGCAGCGAGTGTCCGAGCTAGCCCCTCACTATGGCTCCTGGCCTTACCTGTCCTCTGCCCCACGTACGACCATCTTCCCGTTCCAGGCTTGTCCTGTTTCAGCCCCTCAAATGATTCAGATTTGTTCTCATCTCAGAGTTCTTGCGCTGTCTGTGCTGCCTGGAATATTCTTTCCTCACACCTTTGCACTGCCAGCCCCTTATCTCTGAGGTCTCTTTGCAGGGTCCTTCTCTGACCCCCTTTCCCCTTCAGTCACTCCCTGCTGCTTTATTTCCTTTGCACTGGTGGTGACGAGCACCATCTGAGAGTTGCCAGCTGCTGCACTGACTCCAAACCACCTCCTGCCGCAACGGGAACTTTATGTGAGGGCCCTCACCTGCTGGGCTCTTGGTTCTTTCATGGTGCCTACTGCTGTGCGAGCACACAGTGGGTGTTCAAGCAAGGTGTGTTGAGTGAGTGAGTGAATGACTTCACAAAAACAGGGATCTAGTTACATAGATGCCGGACAATGCGCTTTGTTGCCATTTCAAATCAAGTTAAATTGGGGGTCTTCTAATTTTTAAACACTTTGAAATCTTCCCCAGGAGGATTAATTTAGTGTTTCTGAGGACATAGCACGTGGGAGTGTTGGCACATCTAAGGCTCCTGTGGGTGTCCTATAACCAGCATCTCTGAGGTCTGTGTAAGTAGGTGGGTGGGGTAGGGGTGTACACACCTGCACCCTGAGATTTCCCAAGTGCAGGACACACAGGACCTGGCTTCCTTTCTTGTTCCTACCACGGTTCCTATGGCCACTCTATGCCTAGCACAGATCCCCCGAGCTGCTGGTGGCCCTGCAGTTCTTCCTTTCTTTTCGGTGCAATTTTACACCTTTTTTATCTTTTTAAAAAAGTTTATCAGGCTAGCCTGTGGCCTAGGGGTTAATATGGCTGGATTTCATATGGCTGACAGCATGGTTCAAGTCCTGGATCCGGCAGCTTGAAAAACAAAGTGTGCACTGGTGCGTGCATGCCCAAAATCCCAAAAGGAGGGAGAAATAGGAGAGCAGGGATTGCAGCATGGCTATCCCCTTGGGGGAGGAGATGCTTTCTCACTTTCCCTCCCTCTCTGTCTCCCTCTGAGAGCACACATGTCTCCAGGCAAAAACCAAACCAAACTAAACCAAATCAAAACAAAAACAGTTTATTCATTGACCTGTTCCTTGAGTTCCTTAATTAAAAATAAATAAGACTTTTAATCAAAGTTCAAAATACAAGATCAAAGCTCTTTGTATCACCTGCTGCTTTTTCTACCAGTGGTCTTGGTGGTTCTCACACCAAGGGTACCAGACCGACAGCAGAAACCTGTATGAACCACTAGCCCAAAAGTGGCCAAAGTCATCTGTCACTGCCAGAGGTGCCCGGTCACCCCACAGCAGGCTGAGAAACAGGGAGAGCCCAGACACCAGGCATCCATCTCTTTAATGGGACATTAATGTCTTTAATTGGCTGCTCAGGCCCCCAGCATGGAATCCAACTGGGGCCGCGTCTAATTGCTCCCTCATGCCAGTAATTTATGGTGTGGGTTCCCATGGCAGCTCAGATCCAGCCAATCCATTTGGAACCTTAATTGAAAATGGTGGCTTAACAGGAAACACTCACCCGGGCTGTTCAATGACGGGGACCCACCCAGCGAGACACAGATGAGCCGGGCAGAGCCACAGGGGTCAGGAGACGCACTAGCAAGAAAAATATAAGCAGGCGGCACCTCCTCCTCTGTCTGCCATACTGTTGGTCCCTCAAGATCCTCCATGTTTGTTTCTTTGTTTCTGCGAGATCTTTACTATAGGGTGTGTGCACTCACCAGAGAGACAGAATGTGAAAAATCACCCCTCGGGGGGATGGCCATGCCACAATCTCTTCTCCTTCATTCTCCTTTCAGGATTTTGGGCATGCATGTACACGCACCCAACATGAGTTTCAAGCTGATGGGTCCAGGACTTGAACCATGGTTGACTACGTGGGATTCTAGTGACATAAACATTACACCATCTGCTAGTTCTGATCCTTCATGTTTTAAAATCAGACTCTGCCTCTCTAACTCAGCAGCCAAACACATTAAGATGAATCCCCCCCTTAGTGACATGTGAGGGCAGAAATCAGGTGTCAGAGTTTAGTGTGGGCCATGTTCGCCCAGCCTGATCACACTTCCCCTTCCTTCCAGCATCATTCCCAAGTCCATTCACTCATTCATTCAAAAACATCTCCAGAATCTACCAATATCAGGTACTCTTCTATGTGCTGGAGCTATAGTGGAGTCAGAGAGATGTCATTTCAGCTCTCTCGTGGACAATCAGTGATCAGATAAACCAACAAGATAATTTCAATGGTGTAATGCTAAGAAATAATAAAATAGGGGGGTGTAGGTGAAGAGTATAGTTATTATGGCATAAGTATGTGGCCAGGGAAGGTTATTTTGAAGGTGCATTATTTGGATTTCGGCCAGACAGATCAGGTTAAAAAAAAAAATCCTGTGTGAGAAGAATGTTGGGAAAAGCATCTAGGCAGGAGATCAGCATGTGACAAGCATGACACAGAATAGGCATGGCATGTTTGAAAAAAACACAAGAAGTGTGAGTGGGGGGGCTCAATATTGAGTGAGGCTGGAGAAGCAGACAGAGATCAGATGACGTAGGGCCTTATGGTCTGGCGGCAGGGCTGATGCTACGAGGGCAGTGTTGGGCACAACCATCTCCCATCAGCAAAGTAACTACAAGCTAATGCTGTGTTGGGAAGGGACAAACTGCATTTGGTGGAACCATGCATCAGTCTATCTGACCATCTACTGATCTGCCTGTCATCTGTCTATCCTTCCACCCATCTCTGTCCATCCATACATCCTTCATCACTTCATGAATCCATTCATCCGTTTATCCATCAGTTTGTCAGTCTATCCATCCCTCCACCTATGTATACACCCATCCATCCATTTACCCATCTGTCAATCTGTCTGTCCATTTGTCTATTTATTCACCTATGCATCCATCTGTCTGTCCATCATCCATCCAACCATATCTCCATGTATCTATCTGTCTATCCATGCATCCATCCATTGTCCCATCTGCCTATCCATTCACCTATCTATCCTTCTACTTATTCACTCAAGTATTCAGTGATGGATCCAGTGCTTACTTTGGGCTAACTCCTGTGCTAGGAACTAGGGATATTAAAACAGAGCTAACCATGAGCTTTGTGACCATGAGATCTGGGTTTAATTCTGAGGCATACCGCTTTCAATCTATGATCCAGAAAATCACTAAATTTCCACAAGCCTCAGTTCTCCCAAGTATAAAGGGACTAATGCCACCATATCATCAGGTACCTGGTTTGTTACTAGCCTATTACTAATACACATTTAGGAGCAGTCACTAGGCAAAGTTCCAGGTTACTTTGGTGTCCTGATGGTGACCAGCCCTCAGCTCTGTGATGCTGGTTCCAGTGCTCAGTGCTGGAGAACCTTCTCCAGGTGCAGGGTGAGTTCATCTCTGGGGCTCTCCAAACCCCTTCTTCTCCTTGTCCAACTATAAGCATCAGATTGTGAAAATGACCCCAGCAAGGGAACTGCAGAGGATGAACTGTGACCGCATATGGCTTCTTACCTCGGAAAACTGAAGCCTCCCAAAGTCGCTGGGTGGGCTTGCGATCTTGAAGACTTTCTTTGGCATCACCCATGTCTCCAGGGTCTCGAGTTTGCTCACGGCCAGATTGGTGGCATGATGTTTGATCAGAAAGCCCTGGAAGCGGTCAGCAAGGAAATAGAGGTGGACAGAGGCTGGGTGGCCCATTGGGTAGTACCTGAAAACAGCAGTCCCTGGGTTAGACTAGGGTGTACAAGATCACAATGGAGATCCCCACCCACCACACCCACCATGCTAATAGCCCCACTCCTAAAATCCTTCCCACTTTATATGATGCTCATCCTATTCCTTCGCATCTGTCTGAAAGCTGCTCCCTACATATCTGGTTTCAGTGACTATGACTAACTTCTTTGCTGATTATTAATGTAAAATATGCTGACTGTAGGAAAGTACAATAAAGAAAGTAAAATGACGACTTTTGATGCTTCTTCCCATAAATATTGTCAATGCACAGAGATTTATTGAGTCCTCTAGTGTAGGTCCTGGGGAGTGATAATGGTGTGCAAATATTGTCATGTTGATGTATTTCCCTTCAGCCTTATTTTCTATGCATATATTTGCATAAATATTACATAGTTGGGATTATAATATACATACAGCTATATTTTGCTTTTCTTCATAGTCTTTATTCCCTGAGCATTATCACATCTTTGAAAAGCCTCTGAAACTGAATTTTGTGCAAGCATGCATGTGTGTATGCAGAGTACTTTATTTTACATAACACTGTATTTTATACAACAAGTTCCCTATCATTGGTCATCAATGGTTTCTCTCTTTTGCTATTCTAAACAATGCTGTATTAAACATCTTTGAGCATAACATATTTTGGAGCATTTCTCTCTCTATTTGGAGAGAGATTTTTGTTATAGGGTGTGTGTGCTCACTAGAGAGACAGACAGAAAGTGAGAAATCACCTCCCAGGGGGTATGGCCATGCTGCAATCCCTCCTTCTCCTTTCTCCTCTCGGGACTTTGGGCATGCATGCATACACGCCCAGAGTGAGTCTAAGCCACAGGGTCCAGGACCCACACCATGGCTGACTACGTGGGAGTCTAGCGACATAACCATCTGCTGGTCTCTTTCTTTT